TTGTTCAAATTTCATCAATTGGTTTGTAAAATTAAATGAAACAGAGTTTGTAAATCTCAACAAAAAATGTTAATGATAACTTTAACAATACTAAATACTGTAAAGATTTCAATATGCATCAATGTGTTGCAAAAAAATTCTAGTATTTCTATCTATAAAAAAAAATCAAACTTGATAAGCCAACTCCATTAGTTAAGAAATCATCTAGTGACAGGGATCTACAGATACTTGGCTACTTTGTCAATGATAAAGATGGCATTCGTGCTATGAGTGGAGATCTCTCTGAAGATTCTGTAAAACAAAATCCTTTTGCAATATCAACAGCATGTCTGGAAGAAAATAGAGCCTTGAGATCACCAGCGATGTGATTGAGTGAGTTGTCTAAACAGGACTTTGATAACATGGATTCTGTGGTCAGTTGCTGTTGTTTTCAGTGGGTGCACCTGAAATGTATTGACAAAAGAACCATGCCCAAGAGAAAGTTTGGGATTTGCTGTAACGGTTACACTTGAAGTGATTAAAATGTTCAGTGACGTCTATATTTCTTTTAATAATTGATGATGAATAAATGATTTTAATTTGTTTTAACAATTAATAGTAGAAAAGATTTTAAATTGTCTTCACAAATTGTGGTAAAAATAAATAAACTTCTGTGTTAAATTTGTGTATTGTTATTTTTAACATTATCTGCCTTCATAATAATAAAAATATTTACTGGTAAAATAGCCTGGGTGTCTATTTTACAGAGACTGGTAAAATAAGCTTAAAAGCATGTTTGTCTATTTTACCAAGACCAGCAAAATAGCCTCTTTGTTGGTTTCAACCACTAGAAATGGCTGCAACACACTTTCCCCTCTTCTTTTTATAGGCAGAAGCACACAAATGCATGCTGGGATTTTTTTCCTAGCCAATAAAGTAGGCCAGTTCTCAGTTTCATCTGACTCAGTCCCAATTTGTCTTGAAGTCAGAACACCACGTTTATTTGTCTGAACTTGCTTTTATATGTCAATACCAATTCTTAGTTTGGGAACCTTTTGCCAAATTACTGTTGCTTTGCCTTAAATATATTGTTTGCTTACTTTATATTATTTTTGGCTCTGTTCCTTTTTTTTTTTTTCTTTCTCATTTTATTGCTTATTGTAAACTTTGTCAATTCTGTTTGTTAGACAGTTCTATTATTTATTTTACATTTGACTATGGCTACTCACTCCATGAATTATCAGCCCAGAAACAGACTGTTTTAATGGTGACAAATCAAAATATGAACAATGGAAGATGAAATTTTTCGGTTACATGCAAATCCAAAAATTATAAGGAAAACAATCTTGGCACCATTTGATTGTCCCTGTTTTTTTTTTTTTTACATTGTTTTTTTTTTATACAAAATAACTGCAGATTTGCTTTGTAATGTAAATAGTTGTATATTTCATGTTGGTATCAAAAGGTTGAGCTGAGATTTCAAATATGGATATTTCTAGGCCCACCTCTCCTAACTTTGAAAAATGGCATAAATAATATATTTCACTTCCAACTTGGCTTTTACAGTTGTTAGGAAAAGTTTAGTAAATAACAAAAGGATTAAATGTTAAAGTAACATGCTTTATGGATGAAGTAGTTGCACATTTTCAGTTGATGTTAAAGGTTAATGTTTGAGTAAAGATGAACTAAGATTTCAAATACATGTTTTTCCAAGCAAGCTCTTTCAAATTGGAAGACTCGTAGAACATAATATTTATCCATTTAACTTTCTGCTGTTCTAAAACAAACATTATAAATATAAAAAAGGTACAATTTCAAATGTCCATTGTCAAGGCTGAAAGGTAGCTCATCCCAACTTGGAAGATTGACACAACACAATCTTCCTAATCACTGTTCTCATCCTGTTTGGCTTTATGCTGTGCAAAACAAATCTTAGTAAATATCAAAGCAAGCAGGCCCTCCTCACTTATATAACTGATGCAATACAATCTGCCTAAAATACATGCCCTCCAATTTGACCTTAAGCTCAGTAAATATTATAGAAGGAAAGTTCTCTCTACTTGGTTGAGTGGCACAATATAATCTGCCTCACCTCCATTTTTCTTCAGTTTGGCTTTGTGCTGTTCTCATCAAAGCTTTGTAATATATGCAAGCCTTCTGCACTTGAAAGATTGGCTCAACACAATCTTATTAACCTCCATTTCCCTTCCATTTAGAATACTGTTATACATTTTCTTGAGAGGTTAAGTTTAAATGAACTGAATTAAATATTATATTTCCTTCTAGTATCAGATGTTTCAGTCTAAATTTCAAAATGTTAATATTTCTCGGCCCACCTCTACCAAATTTGAAGAATGGCATAAAATAATATATTTCACCTCCAAATTGTCTTTTACAGTTATTAAGCAAAGCTTAATAAATAACAGAATGAATGAATTTTAAAATAACATGTTTTATGGATGAAGTAGTTACACACTTTCAGCTGATGCTAAAGGTTAGTGTTTGACCTTCGATAAAATGGACAACATCAGACCAAGCACCTTGAGGTAATATATCAGTGATTTACCAATCTTCATTTCACACTGTTTGTTTTTTTGGTAGAAAATGGAGATGGCTTGTTGACATTATTTGAGGCTGAAAAACACCTCGTTGTGTTACAAAGAGGAAAAGATGGAGAAGCCTAGAAGGTTACACTGCTGTTTTCAATTTAGGAGTTAGTTTATTAACTTCTGGCAAAATTCAAATGTCAAGGGAAATATGTGAACACTGATCAATTCCCTTAAGTCTTGCAGATCCAAAAATCTTGCCTCTACTAAAATATGTCAGAATATATAAACTTCTAAGAGGGGCCCTTGAACAATGATTCTCATTGACTCCAAAAATCTTTAAGAGGAGATCCTATCATCATGCACACTCCAGAACCCCATTTCTTGCTCCAGCCAAATGCATTCCACAGGACACCCACCTTGTACACAAAATGTTTATCTGCCCTATCCTCATCTAATAAAACAAACATTAAACATTTATCTGATCTAGTTCTTCTAACAAATATGCTAAAATAGAAAATAAAAATCTATCCGCATTTTTCCATAACAGAGTATTTTTCAAAGGATTAAAAGAAAATTATTTCCTTCAAACATTTAAGGACTTTATTAATGAAAGCCAACTTAGGACTTCATCAGTCTAAATTGATGTTTATGTTGATATGACTACATATTTGCCTGAAGAAAAGGAAATGTTGGGAGTTTTAAATTAAATGTTTGTTTTTAAATATATGTTTTCTGTATATAATCTAGCCAATTTTATTTAGATTCTTTTTCTTTATATTTCCATCACTTTTGTTATTAAATATTTTATATTTAACATTAAAAAAATTTTTAAATAAAGTATATCACCTGAAGAAGTCTAGAGCGTACAACAGTCCAAACATCATGAATATGGGAAATGTGATGTAATATCAACCCTCCTATACGAATGCTGGACAATCTCCTCACAGATATAGAAGAGACTTTAGGCAACACAAATGTGGTTCTACAGAAGGATGCTGAGAATACCATCAATACTGTGAGAAATGACAATGTTTTAGAGAAAATAGAATCAAAAAGGATACTTATACTTAAAATCAGAAAGTGGTAGTTGAAAATTCTAGGGCACATAAGGAAAGAGCTTGGAAAATTTGATACTCACAGGACAGATTGAAAGCAAGAGAGGAAAACTACACATAACCTATCTAGAGAGCTTGAGTAAATGGATAGTAGAGCAAATTTTAGGAAAGATAACAAATACAAAATTTATTAAGAGCTACAAAGGACAGGAAGTTGTGAAGAGCCATGATTGATTACATCATGAAGGGACATGCCACATAGAAGAAGTGAATGGCAGTAAGTGTTGGACAATCCCCCCATAGATGAAGAAAAAACTCAAGGCTGCAGAAATGTGGTCCCACAGAAGGATATTGTAAGTTCCATAGACAGAGTGTGTAAGCAACAAGGAAGTCTTAAATAAAATGGCAACAGAAAGAACACTTCTACTCAAAATCAGGAAAAGGCATCTGAACTTCCTTGGACACAATGATGAAGGAGATCTTGGAAAACTTAACACTCAGAGATGTATTGACGGCAATTCACCTAATGAATCAATTATGATTTTATAAAATCTTTGGCTAAAAATAATGAAAACATTTTTATAAATAATTATAAAAATGTTTGCATTTTATCTAAAACATTTTTACAGCATATAATCACAAATTGTATGAATAAACAGAAAAGATTAAATATTTTTCTTAAAATGATTCTATTTATTGCTAGATTTTGAATTTTTTTATTGGTCAGAAATGTTGTTCTTGACTTGTGACCATAATTTGAGCTCCTGTTATATCTCCTTCTCTAAACAAAATTCTTGTTCCTATATTCACCAATCCAGCTATTGCTGTATTTTGTAGCAATATGAGTCAAGCTGAAGTCATGTTAAATTTAAAACAACTCGATACAAAACATTGGCTATCAGTAATTGGAGTCAACTTCAAGGTGCAAGAGCAAGTGGTTCAGACTGAGAGAAAGTGACAAAAGGAAGATTAATTACTTTTTTAGATGAAGATGACAGGACAAAGAAAACTGTTGTCTATAAAACTGACCATCTCATGCAAAGACAAGCAGAAGGAATGAAGTGGGATTTGCAGAAAGACAGAGGATGGCTGCTGAACTGCGCAACTCCCCTATTCACTTACACCATAACCCTACTTCACTTGCTTATAGCAGTAAATTACTACCTAAGAATAAAATCTAGTTCACTGCAAGAAATTGTTTTGTCCTTTACTCATGGGTAACAATTTAGCAGAAGGCTAATTTTAAAATCATAACTTTTTGACTGAAAGAAGCTGCACTCTGCCAACAAAGCTGGTGTCTGGTCTGAGCTGCAACACTGCAATTTCTCTCTTCCAAATAACTTAAGATTTGAGATATCATTTGATGACTTTATTTTCTTATTGATATATACTCAATTAAGTTTAGCACAAACACCATGTTGAAACACCGGTCCTTGCAAGATCTCAGAAGTTAAGCAAGATTGAACTGGGTTAGTACCTAGATAGGTGACTGCTTGGGAATACCAGATGTTGCAAGCTTGGGTGTGTGGGTAGTGTAATGGATAATGGTTTAGAATTGTTAATCAAAGAGGTCAATTCCAATTGGGTTTGTCATATTCCCTTATGCACAAATACCCTTGAGAAAGGTATCAATTCACTTCTTCTCCCCCTAGCTATGGGTTAATTATGAAGATTAATTATTATCTAAATTATCATCAGTATTATCTAAAAAAAAAAAAAATAAAAAATAAATTATACTGTAAAAAAAATTTTCTGGCTTTAAATAACTTGCAAAGAAATTAATCAAACAGTAATTTCTTGTATAATGTGCATGTGAAATATTTTTGAAGTCATTCTGATGAACAGAGATATGTAAAACTTGTCTCCTCAGACATTTGATGATCTTAGTAGTTTGTGCAGGAGGATTTTTTGTAAGCAAAATTATTGGGAGGAAATATGCTTTATAATGGTAAATGGAAAACACTATTAAGAACGAGAAAGTAAAAGTAAGAAGTTACTGTGAAGTTAAAAAAAAAAAAATATTGTTTACAATTTTATTTAATTTTTCTCTGTAAGTGACTTGCTACTGTCATGTTTTTATTTATAAATTTATATTTGTCAACCTCAACCACCTCACCTTCCATTATTCCATGACACACAAGATGGGTGGGGGTGAATATTTTTAAGTTCAAGTTTCTGATATCAGTCATGAAACTTTCTGACTCCTCAAAATTAAATGGTGAGATTTTTTCTCTGTCACTATTAACTTCAGAAAATCAAGGTAAGAAATTACTTTGAATTAAAAAAAAATAACAATATTAAACATAGAATGCCTTTTTAATAAGAACAGAGCTGACAACTCACAAATCACATGATGAAGGCTGCAGGACATATGCAATGAAACTGTAATAAAAATAATGATGAACATACTGGTCATAATTATTCATGGAATAATAACAATTCTTTTAAAACTTTACTAAGTTTTGTACTGATATTAAATAATAAAATGAATCACCTTTAGACTGAAAATAACAAGGACACAAAAAAAGTCTTAACACTAATAGAAAATATTTAACTAATTGAGAATCATAACAATCCTTTGAAAAAATATAACCAAGTGAACTTTATACAACTCACATTTTCAGTTTAGGTAAAAAACAAATTTACAAAATAACTGTTTACCAAATATATTTCAATATAAACTTAAAGAAAATATATTTTAAGATTTAAACAGGCATTTTACTTTTCTCATATATAACTGGCTTTTTAAGAAATTTTGAAATAATGGTTTGCTAAAACAGAAGCAATACTTTCAGATTTTAATTCCTGATTTCCCATCAAATCATAACTATTGTTGCAAGATTAGAATGAAAATAAAAATATTTCAAATACTGAATAGTTTATCAAGATGCCAAGAAAAAGTATAACATCTAGTGAAAATGACAGCTATTTCTTTCGTTCTGTGCCAAATATAGCAATTAAATTATACATTTTTCTTAATACATTAGAAAGAAACAAAAATAATAGAAGCTGATACCATAAGGCAATAATTAGGCTTCCAGTAAAAACTTCTTTTGTTTTGGTTCAGTTAGACAAAAACTGTAAATTTTATTTTGAATATGATAAAAACTATGTTCAATTATTTAGAAGACAATTTAAAAATATAGACTAAATTACACAGTGTCAAAATGATAATACATCAGAGGAAGACATTTTTAAAACCAACCATTCCTTTGCTTTCACAAAAACACACAATAATAACAACCAGAAATCAGTCTAGAGACATCAACTTGTAACTGTTACTCCGAGTTTCACACCAACTGCAATTAGACAATTATGATTATAATCTCCTGATGATCACAGTTGGCATGAAACTCAAAGTAAAAGATGTTGGTGTCTCTAAATGGATTCCTGGTTGTTGTTGTTGTTATTACAGCTCTGTCTTGGTTTGATTTCCCATTTTGTGTTTCTTTACTCTATAGACATTGAGTAATGTTGGTTTTTGTTAAGGTAGGTATGTTTCCCCACTTTTTTTTGCAGGTTTTGTATAGGTATAGTTTGTTTTTAATTTTAAATATATGAAAAGTAACTGTTACAATTAAGGAAATCATGAATGGAAAGAAAAAAAATTACTTGTACTAACATAAATAGTATAACGGAATCTAAAAGCTTTACAGAATAAGAATATATAGTTTTGTCAATATGTCCATAGCCTAACAGTGAAAAAAGCATTTATCTTCCACAATATATATTATCAACATAATCTACTTTTCCATAGATCATATAGTTCAAACATTATTAAGAGTATCAGGATACATATTTATTGATACACATTTGTCTAAAAATTCAAGCAAATTTAATTTCATTTTTTTTTTTAAAATGCAAAAATGCCTACTTATTAATTCGAAAATTTATAATACAATGAATGTGTACATGCATAGTGGTCATCATCTTGGAAAATGGGATTGATGTGTACAGTTCAAATTTCATCTTGGAATAGTAGGAATCCATTTCTTTTCCTCCTAGGTAATACCATAGCAGAGTGGACCCTTTAACTTTGCTTAGTAACCAGTCTAAAAGAAAGAAAACTGAATTCAAAACTGGATGGGTATGAAGCTAGCAACTCCACCATATAAAAAAAAAAAAAAAACAGAAATGACAGTAGTAACATCTAGCATGTTGAAGCAGCGACCCTATTCTCCACATTATTAACATAATACAAAGAGAGATATCTAAGAATTTTTAAAAATAAAAATTAAAAGTTTCATGTTATAATGTCTTTTTTTGCCTCATTTAGTCAAACACTAACAGTTGAATAATGAGACTGATGTCTAAATGATTAAGACTCAAAACTTAAGTGTAACAGATAAAAACCTCAATGTATTATGCAAGCAGACTGAGGAACAACAATAATAATAATAATAACAATAATAATAGAATCTATTAACATGAATCACACAAGGAAATATTCAGACATTACCCTGCAGCATCAAAGTTAAGCCAAATAGTTTGGTCAGTTTATCAAAGTGCTGTAGATAACTGAGAACAGGTTTTGGTTGTATTTAAATAAACAAAGTTGGATTCAAAAACTTTGCAGGTAAAATAGTCAGTCTAAAATGCTAAAAAAAAATCTTTTGTTCACATTACTACACCTTATGACCAAAAACAAATACAAATCTGATCTTGTAAAAGTTGCGTGCGTGTTTGCACACACATATATCTTACTTATTATAAAACGCAGATTGTGTGTGTGTGTGTGTGTGTGTGTGTGTGTGTGTGTGTGTGTTTTATATATTGGATCAGATTTCCTACATTTTTCAACCGATTTCAACAAAACTTCACAGGACTACATAAAATTACCTTGTGGTGGTTCTAACAGCGCCAAAAATGGGCAAAATATAATTGTTTTTGCACAAAATCAATTTGAAAACACAATTAAGAGACATCGTGAAAATGGAAGGGGGACAACTCACATCGGTTTGTTTGTGTGTGGGTTCCTTTAAATATGGGAGCCAGTTTTCCTATATTTTTCAGCCGATAAAACAAAACTTCACTTTTTTTTTTTTTTTTTTTTTTGGTAGTGTTTCTTATTCTCTTGCACACTTTTTTCTTTATTTTTAACATTCAGAATGCTTTAAAAATTCCATTTACAAGACAATTATTTATAATAAAATTCTATTCAATCAGGAGACTCATAAATGATTGAAAACAATGTTTTGTTTGAGTTTGCCGTTTGACCAATTCGTAAAAAAAAAAAAAAAAAAAACAACTAATTAAGACATGCGTGTCTGTCAACCTTAAACAATAATCTTTGTCAATTTTATTTTTCAGTCTTTATGATGGTGGATACTTGATCTATCTCTTACTGTTATATCCCTGGGCAACGCCGGGCTCTACTGCTAGTAATTAATACAAGTAAAAGTTTTGTCACTCAGCTGATTGAGGTTACCTTCAGTATCCCAATTCCAGAGTTTTGTAGATGGACACTATGGGAATCACTCCATCCACTTGTCAGAGGGTATCTGTTTTTTTTTTTTGTTTTTTTTGTTTTTTTGTTGTTTTTTTTTTTTACTAATATTCACTCAATACACAGCACAAGAGTCACTCAAGGTAGACGGTTATAGTGTGGAGTTATATTAGCATAGGAAACAAGGGATAAACCTCAAATCCTGTTTAAAAGATTGGGGAGGAGTGTGAACTGGATGATAGGCAAAATCTATATATGTAAGTAAAAATTCATTTATAACAAAAATATACCTCTGTAAAAAGACAAAAGGAAAATCTTTCTTTGTCTATGTGTTTTATCCTCTAATGGACTTTACTGCCTTGATAAAGTCCATCAGACGATGAAACAAGTTGACAAAGAAAAGTTTTCTTTTGTCTTTACTCACACACAAACACACACATATATATAATTAGGAGATCAACCAATTCTGCTACCTATGTTTCAACCTTTCAGAATCTTCAGGCAATACCAGTCAATATATTTCCTAACGCTTTATTTTTTTTTAAATTAAAAATTAATGAATCCTTTATTAATTAAAAAAATAAATAAACATACAATTTGAAGTGTGTTAGGAGAAGAAGAAGAGGAAAAAAGCAAGAGTATTGGAAATGTATCAGTGGGTGTGGGGGGATAAATGAAATGTACATACATTCTTTTCATCCTAATTCATATGAACTCAAAAGGAACTTTTTAGTGTGTATGCAATGAGTCATAAATTCCAATCTCTCATTCAAAAGGTTTTTTTTTGGTCTGAAAATGTTATTATAGCTACCTTTTCTTGTTAACAAAGGTTGTTGTAAGGTTTGGCTTTTTTTAAAAATTTTCCAGTTTTCATTAATTTTTAAAATAAATAAAGCATTAGGAAATCAATTGACCAAAATTACCTGAAGATACAGAAAGGTTGAAACCAAGGTAGTGGAATTGGCTGATCCCATGAATTTTTATACTTAAAAGCTGTATATGTTAAATTTTTATTTTTTTTTATATATGTATTGAGCATTTTTTAATACTACTGTTTCCTGGTCTAATTCA